ATCTTGACTAATTACAGAGTTATTGCCCTTTGTTACTTTTCCTTGTCCGGGGCATAACTTGAAAACTACTGGTTGGAATTCAAAACAACTTCATACAATTGTCAAACACAATAAGGGAAAGTGCAGTGCACAAGAACCATAACTCTATCTAAAGTAATTACAGAGTTATTGCCCTTTGTTACTTTTCCATTGCTTTCTTTTGTCCGGACCATAACTTGAAGACTAATGGTTGGAATTCAATATAAGTACATACAATGGTCAAGCACATTGAGAGGAAGTGCAGTGCACAAGAACCATAACTCTATCTTGACTAATTACAGAGTAACTGCCCTTTGTCACTTTTCCTTGTCCGGGGCATAACTTGAACACTACTGGTTGGAATTTAAAAAAACTTCATACAATTGTCAAACACAATAAGGGGAAGTGCAGTGCACAAGAACCATAACTCTATCTAAAGTAATTACAGAGTTATTGCCCTTTGTTACTTTTCCATTGCTTTCTTTTGTCCGGACCATAACTTGAAGACTAATGGTTGGAATTCAATATAACTACATACAATGGTCAAGCACATTGAGAGGAAGTGCAGTGCACAAGAACCATAACTCTATCTTGACTAATTACAGAGTTATTGCCCTTTGTTACTTTTCCTTGTCCGGGGCATAACTTGAAAATTACTGTTTGGAATTCAAAACAACTTCATACAATTGTCAAACACAGTAAGAGGAAGTGCAGTGCATAAGAACCATAACTCTATCTAAAGTAATTACAGAGTTACTGCCCTTTGTTACTTTTCCATTGCTTTTTTTTGTCAGGAGCATAACTTGAAGACTAATGGTTGGAATTCAATATAACTTCATACAATGGTCAAGCACATTGAGAGAAAGTGCAGTGCACAAGAACCATAACTCCATCTTGACAAATAACAGAGTTATTGCCCTTTGTTACTTTTCCTTGTCCAGAGCATAACTTGAAAACTACTGTTTGGAATTCAGTACAACTTCATACAGTTGTCAAGGACATTAAAAGGAAGTGCAGTGCATAAGAGCCATAACTCCATTTTGACAAAATACAGAGTTACTGCCCTTTGATACTTTTCCTTGTCTGGAGCATAACTTAAAACGTACTGGGTGAAATTCAAAACAACTTCATACAATGGTCAAGCACAAAAAGAGGAAGTGCAGTGCACAAGAACTATAACTCCATATTCAGTATTTATAGAGTTATTGCCCTTTGTTCCTTTTCTTTGTCTTTATGGACTTATTACAGAGTAATTCAATAAAACTTCATCAATGGCCAACCACATTGAAAGGAAATGCAATATACAAGAACCACAACTATCTTTAATTGCCCACAACCATAACTCTATATTTCAATTCTTTTACAAGATATTCTGTTACTAGTAACATCCTCATTTCCGAAGCAGTCTTGTGGGGGTATTAATCACATTTAGTGATAGTTCTAGTTTACCTTAACAACATGCAAATCAAAGTTAATATGTTATATATATTTTTGTAAAGTGGGCCGAGTTGACCCATGCCGAGTTGACCCATGCCGAGTTGGTATAGGGCCGAGTTGACTCTTTTCCGTTTATCTGTGCTAGGGGCTCACACGCCCTTGCACACCATCCTTGTTGTCTCTAACAACATAATAGGGCCACTCCCCTGGGCATTAGTTAGGACACAGTTCAAGTTCTGGACTTTGTTTATTTTTCGCCATCTCAAGTTCTTCAAATTTTCTGCTGATGCCCTGCCCCTGTGACTTCTCATAATCTCAGCGAAGTGCACGCTCCGAGGTGAGATGGTGAAGCATATGCTGATTAATATATTATATAATATATTAAAAATATGGATATGGTGAGGTTGCATAACAAATTACACTATATGTCTTCAATAAAACCACCAGCAGCCGCAACATTACTCTTATTCACTCAACTGTCTCCACACTACACATTAAACTGCACATTGTTTACTTTTGAAATACTGCTGTTACATGTTTTATTTGATATCTACATTGAATTCACCCTTGGGAAAACTTTAATTCACTTAGAATGAAATTTCAAAAAAGGATACAAAGTGATAATTCCAATTAGGGTTTAGGAAAAAAGAAATCTTGAAACAGGATCCTACTGGAGGTTAATATGGATTTTGTGTCTATTTCTATAATTTATATATCATATTTTAAGTTACTAGCATGGGAGTTTCGTTTTGGAAAATGTACTTTTGAGAATCTTCATATTAGGAAGATGATAATAATAGGCAAGGTGTTCCAAATGTCAATTTTGAATGGGAACCATACTGATAGAAAGAACCTGATTTGAACTGTTTCCTAGCAATAGGGGAGGGAACCAGATTGTACTGTTAGCATGCTTTAAACTTTATAGGACAGGCAACCAGATTAACCTCTTAATGAAGGGCAGGCATACTTATTACCCTAAATGTTACTGCACAATCACATCATGTGGCAAGAATTTTCAAGTCATAGCTTTTGAAGGTACTCCTGTTACTCCAGTAATGTTTAATCTGCTAGCAGGCCCTTTGAAACTGCATCATACACATGACCACAGGTGAAGACTTAAGAGGTTTAGGTTAAGAGGTTAAGCCATATTTTCAATTCAATTGCAAGGATATATATATAATAATTAATTTAGGTTTTTTACAGTCTTTAAAATGACAGTTGGGAAACAAATTTAACTAGATAATCACCCAGCTGAAGAGTGCAAGTTTGCTCATGTTTTTATTTCCCCTGTGTCATTGCCTTTTACTTTCAATAACAAATTTTTGTTAGGGCTGGGGTGAGTATCTGAGTACTCAGATAATCACAAATCAAAATGAAAAATCAGGTACGAATATTCGTCAGTCCAGAGATGGTGGATCACGATCTTATTTATTTATATTCATTCACTGTTTCTCACACTCTAAAAGTCGAAATAAAACTACACTTTGAGTATGAATTATGCGATGTTTAGCTAAGTACAATTTGCTTATTAAAGACAGGAAGTAAACAAACAAGTACCATGATGCTGAGCAAGGAAGTCATTAGTTTTGAAAAATGAATCACTATATCTGTAATTGAGCACTATGTTTTGATGTGAAAATAAATAAAAATTTTAGTGGCTATAATTTTTATATAGATTTATAATAACATTACATGTATCAAATACGGTTTTATTTTTAATAATCCAAAATTTGCAAAACAGAAGTTAATTACTTCCTCAGTGTGACATCACACATCCTGTCTGCAACAATGTTTGAAAAGGAATCGGGTCAATATAAATTCCACCTCCAAAAAAAAAATGATGCATCATTTACATCATAGTTATGGCATTTAACAGTGAAATTACAGCAAAGTGGGCTTGTTAAAAGCCCATAAAGCCTAAAATTCTAATATTGCCGTTTGTTTTTGGTATCATGTTACAATTTACATTATGTTACTTAGCCGAGTAGCTCAACCTTCTTTTGATTCTTATATGTTTTGACTATTGCAATTAACAGTGTATTTCCTATGGAAGTCAAAATACCACTTTGTTTTCATTTTGTTGCCTTGATTACAAATTATTTCCCATTCAGCACTATTATTTTCTTTTTAAATCCATTATTACAACCTTAAGGCCTATAAAGCCAATGTTTGCCCATTCTACAGAAAAAAAATGTCAACATTTCTGAGGCTTACTGTGCCTTTAAGAAAACAAAAGTCTTATAAGTAGACTTTAGCTTTTTTGAAGTGACAAAAATAATCATGGATTTAATCTAAGTTTTATCAAAATCTAGAGATATCTTAAAAAGCATTATAGTACATCTGAGTGGAAAGCCTCGGGGAAGTTTTCTTATTTCATGTTAACACAAACAATATAGTGGTCAAACTACTTGTTTGTATACTTGATATATATAATTATAGGTCATAAGCTTACAATGTATTTACCTACATATTATCACTACATGTAGTTAGTGGATATGTTATTCTATATAGATTGTATACTTAATGTATGTAAATACTGTTTTATTTGGACAGTCTGGTGCTTGAAGCTTAAGTTGCTGTATTTTAACCCTTTTAATAAAAATTGTGTGTAAGGGTATTTAACAACCTTCAATGTACACTATTTAGAGAGATTGCTATTTAAGAAGTTCCATATTCCATAACAAAAGTCATGCTTTGTTGTATACATGTTGTATAAATTCATTTATGGAATTAATGTTTTTTGCCTTGTTACACAGTAACTGAAGATTGACATATGAAAACTAAAAGAGTGAGTGGAAATGAAGTACATATAACTTAATGTTGACTTTAAGATATTCATATTCTAACTTAAAACGCTATTTAATAAAGGCAGAAAGTATTAACCGATGTGAAAGGCTCCTTAATGACAGAGAAGATACTGTATTTGAATTTTATTTATTTGTCAAATGTTTTCTTCATTTTGATGATTCATTTAGTGTGTACATCATTATGGTAATATTAGGACTGCACACAACTGCTTGGAATATTATCAATTTCATTGTAATAAGAGACTGAGTCTATTTGAGCCGCATCATGACAAAACCAACATAATGGGTTTGATCAGGATCCATGCTGTTCGCTTACAAACCCTATATCAAGTAGAGAAACTGATAGCGAACAGCATGAATCCTGATCAGACTGTGCGGATGCGCAGGCTGGTCTGGATCCATGCTGGTTGCAAACCCATTATGTTTGTTTTATCATGACACGGCTCATTTATATATGACTTCAGATCATTCAATTACATTATTACAGGTCCAGTTTTTATTGCATGACTCTGAATAAATCACGGAAGTTGGAATTTTGATATGGTACATGGTATAGTTATACCCCCTTTTATTATGTAAGACAATACAATTATAGGTTGGTTTTACAACGATGTTATGGATATTTGAGTTATGTCGATGTAGTCACCACTTTGTACGAGCTAATATTGTCAAATTTCTTAAGAGTGAAAACAAACAATGACTTTTATCTATATATACTATGATAACCATAAATATACATATATTAAAAACTTGCGATCATGTTCAATTATATTACGGATTTTCAGTGGAAAACTGTGAAAAAGATTTCACTTTGGATGTGTAACAGTGTTGTATTTAACACCAGTTATGGATATATTTAAATTCCGTTTAGTAGATAAATCGCTTTTTTACTTTGATGGTGGTTTTATGATCCAGAAAGAATATGGAGTTATCGATAGGTTTTTAATAGAATTTTTATGATACCATCAATTATGTGAAATAATCCGTAACATAATCTTGTAGTGATAATAATGCCTTTTATAGAAAGAGATTAATAGCTTATTATAAGTCCAATCTATTTAAGAGATCAAATAAAAGATAAAATGAAACCTGCAGATTGTATGCACTGACTTTTTCTCTGCTATTGTGAAATCATTGAAATGGAATAATACGGGAACTTTCTGACACGGTGTTTAGGTCTTCAGGAATCCCGTAGTATTGAATTATTAATTTCACCTATATAATGGAAGTCAATAGAGGAATGATGTTAAATCAATTTTGCTCAGTTTAAAATGGGAAACAGTTTGCTTTCATTAATTAAAGTGAAATTATTATTATAATTCTTCAAGTGAGGTGGTTTTTATATGAAAGGATTGTAAATTGAGCAATTGAAATATATAAGGAGAAATAAAAATGGTGGAGACGCCAGTTAAACTAGTTGTACATGATTCTTATTGTGGTGAGTAGATCTGAAGTGGATAAAAATGGACATAACTTTAAGCAGAATGTTACTTTTATAATGAATTATAATTTTTTAGCATTTTGTACTTTTATTAAATGTTCATTCAAAATCTATTCCAGCTCTGATTTTGAGTGGGTCAATTTTGACTGCTGTTTTAGAAGTTTTGACTGATTATAATAATATAGCAAATTATAGAGTATACTATTGCAAATTATAGAGGGCATGTAGAACCTAAATTTGAACTATTTAAAAGTGAAGTCTTGATAATTTGATTTTTTTTTTTGACATGATGAGACTGGAAGATTAATATTCCATTTGATGTGGGTCTAGACCAATTCGCTCACTCTGTTTTTCCAGAATTGTTATTCTAATTGTGAAAAAGTCCCAAATTAAGAGCGTTGCAATGATTTTCACTCATAATAATAGCATAAAACTACAATTTTCAATTTAAGAGTACCGATATATTTCTTAATTATCTTTTAATTATCTTTCTGGTCTTGTGTTTTAACATTAACAAACCTTTATGGAAATTCTAAATTTAGAGTCTTGGTTTAATTTGGACTTTTTTCTTATAACTATATACGAAGCCCTTGGTCTAGCAGTAACCCACACATTTTATTCAAAGATGGGGTGTGGCAGCAAAAAAATTTATATAATAAAAGAATCGGCTGTTGAAATTTTCTAATATTTGAAAAATCACTGTCTTATATACTAATATGTAGATAATAAAAGTTATGAAAAACTTATTCTAATCCTAAAGTGACCCCGCTCTAAAAGTCTAAATTCTAATCCTGAAGTGACCCAGCTCTAAATTTATGCCTGAAATTCAAATTTTATGTTTTTAGGCTTTTGGACCTCAGTGCTATCTCTTAAAATTGTTTCTCATTTAAGGGTCTAATTCTGAGTTTTCACACAAAAACATTCAGAACGTACTGTATACATGCATGTTGACAAAGAAGAGTAATAATTTATAAACATATAAAAATGTATAGAAAATAATAATTTTTTAAAAAAGTTCAAAAGTTTGAACTTTCATTATGCATCTTTTGTGGCAATTGCACAAAATATTTTAAAAATAAAAAAAACACACACAAAAGAAAATACACCTTAAATTTAAAAAACATTAAAAAGCACATACAAAAGCTTGTTTGCATACCTTTGATGTATAGTTTAGGTTAAAACTAGTGTTTACTTCCTGTTTTTCAGAATTGATAATGTATCCACCACAACAACTGCATCAGCCAAAAAGGCGGAAAAAACGTCCAATTCATGGCCTTAAAACTGTGGACGTAGTTAGAGGCAAATCTGGATATGGATTCACAATCTCGGGTAAATAGCAATACTTGATTGTAAAATACAAGATTTCTTGGTTTTCTTTTAAGCATTGGTATGAATTTTTAGCTCACCTGACCACGAAGTGGTCATGGTGAGGTATAGTGATGGGGCTATGTCCGGCGTCCGTCGTCGTGCGTTGTGCGTCGTGCGTCGTGCGTTGTGCGTCGTTCGTCGTCAACAATTGGGTTGTTAACAGTCTAGCAGTCACAGTTTTGATTGGATCATCATCAAACTTTGTCAGAATGTTTGTCTCAATGAAATACAGATCGAGTTCGAAGATGGGTTATCTCGGGTCAAAAACTAGGTCACAGGAGCTAAAAATAGAAAAAGCTTGTTAACACTCTAGAGGCTGCAGTTTTCATCCAAATATTCTGGAAATTTGTCAGGAAGGTTGTTTTGATGATATCTAGGTCAAGTTCGAAGATGGGTCATCTCTGGTCAAAAACTAGGTCACGAGCTAAAAAATAGAAAAAGCTTGTTAACACTCTAACAATTGGGTTGTTAACAGCCTAGCAGTCACAGTTTTGATTGGATCATCATCAAACTTTGTCAGAATGTTTGTCTCAATGAAATACAGATCGAGTTCGAAGATGGGTTATCTCGGGTCAAAAACTAGGTCACAGGAGCTAAAAATAGAAAAAGCTTGTTAACACTCTAGAGGCTGCAGTTTTCATCCAAATATTCTGGAAATTTGTCAGGAAGGTTGTTTTGATGATATCTAGGTCAAGTTCGAAGATGGGTCATCTCTGGTCAAAAACTAGGTCACGAGCTAAAAATAGAAAAAGCTTGTTAACACTCTAATAATTGGGTTGTTAACAGTCTAGCAGTCACAGTTTTGATTGGATCATCATCAAACTTTGTCAGAATGTTTGTCTCAATGAAATACAGATCGAGTTCCAAGATGGGTTATCTCGGGTCAAAAACTAGGTCACAGGAGCTAAAAATAGAAAAAGCTTGTTAACACTCTAGAGGCTGCAGTTTTCATACAAATATTCTGGAAATTTGTCAGGAAGGTTGTTTTAATGATATCTAGCTCAAGTTCGAAGATGGGTCATCTCCGGTCAAAAAACTAGGTCACAGGAGCTAAAAATAGAAAAAGCTTGTTAACACTCTAGTGGCTGCAGTTTTCATTCAAATTTTCTGGAAATTTGTCAGGAAGGTTGTTTTGATGATTTCTAGCTCAAGTTTGAAGATGGGTCATCTCAGGTCAAAAACTAGGTCACAGGAGCTAAAAATAGAAAAAGCTTGTTAACACTCTAGTGGCTGCAGTTTTCATCCAAATATTTTGGAAATTTGTCAGGAAGGTTGTTTTGATGATATCTAGGTCAAGTTTGAAGATGGGTTATCTCGGGTCAAAAACTAGGTCACAGGAGCTAAAAATAGAAAAAGCTTGTTAACACTCTAGTGGCCGCAGTTTTCATCCAAATATTCTGGAAATTTGTCAGGAAAGTTGTTTTGATGGTTTCTAGGTCAAGTTCAAAGATGGGTCATCTCCGGTCAAAAACTAGGTCACAGGAGCTAAAAATAGAAAAAGCTTGTTAACACTCTAAAGGCTGCAGTTTTCATCCAAATATTCTGGAAATTTGTCAGGAAGGTTGTTTAGATGATATCTAGGTCAAGTTTGAAGATGGATCATGTCTGGTCAAAAACTAGGTCACCGGAGCTAAAAATAGAAAAAGCTTGTTAACACTCTAGTGGCTGCAATTTTCATCCAAATATTTTGGAAATTTGTCAGGAAGGTTGTTTTGATTTTATCTAGGTCAAGTTCGAAGATGGGTCATGTCTGGTCAAAAACTAGGTCACAGGAGCTAAAAATAGAAAAAGCTTGTTAACACTCTATAGGCTGCAGTTTTCATCCAAATATTCTGGAAATTTGTCAGGAAGGTTGTTTAGATGATATCTAGGTCAAGTTTAAAGATGGATCATGTCTGGTCAAAAAACTAGGTCACAGGAGCTAAAAATAGAAAAAGCTTGTTAACACTCTAGTGGCTGCAGTTTTCATCCAAATATTCTGGAAATTTGTCAGGAAGGTTGCTTAGATAATATCTAGGTCAAGTTCGAAGATGGGTCATCTCCGGTCAAAAACTAGGTCACAGGAGCTAAAAATAGAAAAAGTTTGTTAACACTCTAGTGGCTGCAGTTTTCATCCAAATATTCTGGAAATTTGTCAGGAAGGTTGTTTTGATGATATCTAGGTCAAGTTGGAAGATGGGTAATGTCCGGTCAAAAACTAGGTCAAAGGAGCTAAAAATAGAAAAAGCTTGTTAACACTCTAGTGGCTGCAGTTCTCATCCAAATATTCTGGAAATTTGTCAGGAAGGTTGTTTTGATGATATCTAGGTCAAGTTGGAAGATGGGTCATGTCCGGTCAAAAACTAGGTCACAGGAGCTAAAAATAGAAAAAGCTTGTTAATACTCTAGTGGCTGCAGTTTTCATCCAAATATTTTGGAAATTTGTCAGGAAGGTTGTTTTGATGATTTTCAGGTCAAGTTCGAAGATGGGTTATCACCGGTCAAAAACTAGGTCACAGGAGCTAAAAATAGAAAAAGCTTGTTAACACTCTAGTGGCTGCAGTTTTCATCCAAATATTTTGGAAATTTGTCAGGAAGGTTGTTTTGATGATTTTCAGGTCAAGTTCAAAGATGGGTTATCACCGGTCAAAAACTAAGTCACAGGAGATAAAAATAGAAATAGCTTGTGAACACTTTAGTAGTTGCAGTTTTGATTAAAATATTCTGGAAATTTGTCAATAAGGTTGTTTTGATGATTTCGAGGTCAAGTTCGAAAATTGGTCATCTCCGGTCAAAAACTAGGTCAAAGGAGCTAAAAATAGAAAAAGCTTGTTAAAGCTCTAGTGGTTACAGTTTTGATCCAAATATTCTTGAAATTGGTCAGGAAGGTTGCTTTGATGATTTCTAGGTCAAGTTCGAAGATGGGTCATCTCAGGTCAAAAACTAGGTCACAGGAGCTAAAAATAGAAAAAGCTTGTTAACACTCTAATGGCTGCAGTTTTCATCTAAATATTCTGGAAATTTGTCAAGAAGGTTGTTTTGATGATATCTAAGTCAAGTTCGAAGATGGGTCATCTCCGGTCAAAAACTAGGTCACAGGAGCTAAAAATAGAAAAAGCTTGTTAACACTCTAGGGGCTGCAGTTTTCATCCAAATATTCTTGAAATTTGTCAGGAAGGTTGTTTTGATGATGTCTAGGTCAAGTTCGAAGATGGGTTATCTCCGGTCAAAAACTAGGTCACAGGAGCTAAACATAGAAAAAGCTTGTTAACACTCTAGTGGCTGCAGTATTGATTCAAATATTCTGGAAATTTGTCAGGAAGGTTGTTTTGATGATTTCTAGGTCAAGTTCGAAGATGGGCCATCTCAGGTCAAAAAACTAGGTCACAGGAGTTAAAAATAGAAAAAGCTTGTTTACACTCTAGTGGCTGCAGTTTTTATTCAAATATTCAGGAAATTTGTCAAGAATGTTGTTTTGATGTTTTCTGGGTCAAGTGCTAAGATTGGTCATGTCTGGTCAAAAAACTAGGTCACAGGAGCTAAAATAGAAAAATCTTGTGATCACTCTAGTGGGTGCAGTTATTATCCAAATATCCTGGAGATTGATCAGCTAGGTTGTTTTTATGATTTCTAGGTCAAGTTTGAATATGGGTCGTGTCCAGTCAAAAATTAGGTCACATTGCCCAAATATGGAAAAATCTTTATAACACACTAGAGGTCACATGTTTGACTCAGTCGCATCAAACTTGGTCATGATGCTTGTTTAAGACATTGCTTGGATGCGGTTGTGTCAGGTGAGCGATCCAGGGCCATCGTGGCCCTCTTGTTTTTTCATGGTGGCAGGAACATTAATCCATATTCCAGTGTGGCAGAGAAAAATGAAAGACAAGATAGTGTCTTTTGTCAAGTATACACATGGTTAAACAGGGCTTCCATCAATGAAAGTTTAGGAGACATTTACTCATTGATTATGGCTCCAGACTTCCAAAATATAATGCTTTTCCTTCTTTCCTTATATAATGTGATCTCCAATGTCCAACATTTTGTATTCTCTGTCTTCCAATTTTAAAAATTTAATGGAAAACCTAGTTTAGCATATAATGAGCCGCGTCATGACAAAACGAACATAGTGGGTTTGCAACCAGCATGGATCCAGACCAAACTGCACGGATGAGCAGGCTGGTCTGGATCCATGCTGGTCGCAAACGCACTATGTTGGTTTTGTCGTGACGCGGCTCTAATATTTATGCATATGGAAATTTTAGGTATTGACACTCTTTCTGTACATGCCATCCATTTTAATAATCGAAACTTGTGTATTTAAAGTTGATGATTCTACTACACTTTTGTGTATAAAATAATGCAGAGAATCTTAGAGAGTTCTCCAGTCCTCCAGTGAAGCTTTGAAGTCACCATTTGACTAGATCAGACAACTTATATCAAACATGGCAAAATAAAGATATTGTGCACTAATAATTTGGCAATGTACTATATTTTCAGGAAATTAGAAATTGCCATTACTGTTAACAAGCTTGACAACAGGTTATAAATGTATACAGATTTTCAAGGTTGCTGTGTGTCAACTTGAAAAAGAAAGTTGCTGTGGCAAGGAGTGAAATAATGTAGTGTAACTTAAACTTGAAATTGTTTGCGGCCTGTTATATAAACGTTTCATCTTAAAATACTATTTCTTGTATTCGTTGTTTTAGAAAATATTGAATTTAAAGAAATTGAATATAATTTTAAGAAATGAGATATTAGAGCTGTTGAACTTTTGATTCTTTTTACTTTAAGTTTAAAATGTACATTTACAATATGATTTAAACTAATTTCAGGTCAACATCCATGTGTGCTGAGTTGCATAGTGAACAATAGTCCGGCTGAACGTGTTGGTTTGAGACCAGGTGACTATCTCATGAGTGTAAATGGTATAGACGTGTCAAAACACAGTCACGATGACGTCGTTTGTATGGTCGGCACATCCACCGGAACATTGACTATTCAGGTTGCGGAAAATTATAATAGCAGTGACTCCTCAGATGATGACTACTATCATCGTACTAAAGCAAAGTACCCGCACAGGTCACGTAAAGGTCATAAAGGTTATAGTGAAAAAATGGAGAAATTGCTAGCAGACATTAGTCAGAGGGATCGTCCTGATGGTCATACTCACGATCCTAATTCGCGACCTTTACCAAACAATTTTGACAATAAGAAGTTAGAAGCCTCAAAACAGAGGTCATCTCGACCACGATTGCATACGCCTGTTGGTGCGGAGAACCACGAAATTCAGTCTGTGGGGACAAGCTATATTGAAGCAGGGGCTAGTAATGTATTCAAAGTGCCTTTTCAAAAAAGTGCGTCTGCTTCTAATGTTCCGTCTGCAGCAAGTTTACCAATGCATCGAAAAGTTGAACCAAAACAGGCCTTTATAAAGAGTACATCACAGGGACATGTTAAATCTCTATCTGGGACGAACACTGTGAGATCCCTTCCTAGTCAGTTTAAACATGGTCGTATGTATGATCAGTTTTCTCCAAATAGTTTACAGCAAATTATCAATCATTCATTACATTCATACAGTGCGGCCAATGAGGCATTTATTCTCAATGAGGATGATTTTGATGATGACGACGACGATGATAATGCTTTAGTTCCGCTGCACTCGGGACAAGATGTGAGAATAGTTGTTGGATATATTGGCTCACTTGAAATGCCTGGAGATGCTCATCAGCCTCATGTTAGAATACAGTCAATCAGAAACGCTGTGAGAAGGTTACGCGTCGAGCAAAAAATTCATACTTTAGTTTTAATGGTTGTATCCCCAAACAGTGGTGTCAGACTGATAAATATGATGGGTAAAGAGATAGCATTTTATCCCGTTGAAAGACTTGCATTTAGTGGTGTGTGCCCAGATGATAAGCGTTTCTTTGGAATCGTGACCTTACGCAGTGTCTCGGATGATAGCGACAGTGACTCTGATTCTAGAGAAGAGCTTGTTGGGAGCTCGTGTCATGTGTTCATGGTCGATCAGGAGCTTACAGCACATAATATACATGCATTGAAAGCGAAAAGTTTTGGTATTACCTGTACCGTTGACCAACACACGCAAAGATGTATGGAGTTTCCAAGATCAACGACTCCTATTATTTTGTCAATATCAAACCTTTATAAAGATAGGCCAGGTGCTAGGATAGAGAATGACATGGCAAGATCTCAAGTGTTCTCTAATCCTAGTCAGCCTGTTGAACATATGCGTATGAGTAGTTCTAGCAGTAACAACAGTAACAGTGATAGTGGCTTAGGTCTAGGAAGGGATGACAGTAGACCAGAACGGGCACCAGTTTTAGCTGAGATGCCTCCCCCACCACTGCCAGTGAGGGAAAAATCAACACCCCAACTTCCGCAGGTGAAATGGTCTGGTAATACAATGTATCTGATGGATGGACCAGTGAAGCAATCAAAAACTCCGAAACCGAATTCAAGTTTAAGTTCATTAACATCACGAGAAAATAGTCTAGATATTTCAGCAAGCAATGATGAATTTATAAGAGCCACGGACAGGCTTAATATTCGTGCAATGCCAAATGTGTCTCCAAATATGGGACGTCCATCTGCTGACGGGCTCGAGAACCAAAATGCCGCTGAGAATCTGCGCTTAGGAATGCAAAAATTACTCCAGGCTAGACAACGTCAAGCTGGTCTCGACCAGACTAGTAGTGATACAGAGTCCCGCAGTTCTAGAAGCGACACACGCATGTCGACATCAGATTTACAAGAACGTCCATTATCGGCCCCGTTTAAGTATTTATCCGAGGATTCTAGCAGTGACGTTAAATCAAGTTTTATGCATCTTAAACAGGATTCAGAATCCAGTCTCGCAGATAAGCTGTCTCCACGAGCATTCCTGTCGTCTGCATTTACTCCAGTTGGGTCTGTTGGCTCGGCTTTTAAGAAAACACGTTCAAGGCCACGACTACAGGAGATGAGGTCACCGTCTGCCCCGCCTATTCCAAGTTACCATGGAGATGATGAAGACAGTGAGGAAGAAAATGTAAACAAAATTATCAAAAGGTTAGTTTGGTACTTTGTGAAATGAATAAAAGATTTTGCTGTGTAGAAATTTAAAATTATGCATCACATAATTTAGAATTAATAAGGTATAATAGATATCACTTCAAATATATTTTTAGTGAAAACTTCGTGATAGTCTTCAGAATAAATGTCAAAGTAATAAATATTTCCAGAAGTCATGTAAATCTATATTCTGAATTCAGATCTGTTTTTGCTCAGACTTTATAAAGTCTTGAAAAACAATGCATTTTCCTCTGCTCAAAAAGTACATTTTAAAATATCTGGTTAAATCATTGAATAAGATAAAGTACAGTTTACATTTGCATAAGTTGAAAATAACTTATTGAGAATGTTCTATTTCATCAAAGTAGGTTTCAAAAAGACCGATCTTTAGGACTGGGCAAGGATGGAAAAGAATCCCAAGAAACAGATAACGTGGACCAGTTAAAGGTATGTCATTTATTATTAGTTATTTGCATAGGTACAATTCTTTCAGGCATTTGCTAAAAGTTCAGATTTTTAGTGAAAACTGAAGCAATTGCAGTCGCTCATTTGTCTGCGCCCCTGTGATTAAGTTTTTATGTGTGGGCTGGTATCTCCATAAGTGTCAATGACCGTAGAACTTATTTCATGATCAATAGCAATGAAAGTGACCTACAAGGTCCGGGAATCGGACCAAGGTAGCCCGATTCAAAATCCAATGCTCTACCTGTTAAGCTAACCAGACAGCTCTGATTTCTCTCTTCTCTGAAATAATTCATTGAGCATCTCTTCAGTTTCATTTCCTCCACCAATAAAACAAAGAAGTTGTTATGTGACCATCACAGTGTTGATGTGAATTAAAACACAAACTAATAGAACAACATCATTAATGAGCCGCATCATGACAAAACTAACATAATGTGTTTGCGACCAGCATGGATCCAGACCAGCCTGCGCAGTCTGATCAGGATCCATGCTGTTAGCTATCAGTTTCTCTACTTGTTATACGGTTCGTAAGCGAACAGCATGGATCCTGATCAGACTGAGCGGATGCGCAGGCTGGTCTGGATCCATGCTGGTCACAAACGCACTATGTTGGCTTTGTCATGATGCAGCTCATTTCTCTGATACTTTATTTAATTGTCTCTTATGTTTTCATATGGTTAATCAGGATGACAGCTCATTAACATTTACTCTTGACTCTTGAATATAAGCAGAAATTTACAATATGTGATAATGATATTAAATTAAATAAATATACTTAACAATATTCTATTTGCTTTTATGCACAGAGTCTGAAAGGTAAATTAATTAATTAGAAATAAAGGTTTTGAATTTTAAATGTTTGGTTTAGAGGGTTTCCAATTTCTAGAAATTATTTAAAACAACAACAAAAAAAAAATAAAATATTGGGATTTAAAACTGGAAAAAAAGGTTTGTGAGTTAAATTAATGACAATTTATGTATGGTTTTAAATTTAAAGGGATGGGGGGGGAATTAGTAGTTTTTTCGGGGTTTTTAAAAGGGGTTTTTTAAAAATTTATTTTAAAGAGATGAGTATTTTTTTTTTGTTTTTTTTGTTTCCCTTTTAAATTTTGGCAAAGTAACCCTTCTTTTTAAAATTTCTACTGTAACTTTTTTTTTTACCCCAAATTTGTATTATACTAAAAGGAATAGATTTTTTTAAATTTTAAATGCTTTTGTATTTGAAAGTAGATCCCAATTTTTTTTTTTATTGAACTATCTATATCCAAATTTTTATAAGGAAATAAGATAACATTGATTTGAGATCTGATCCTTCTGAAATTGAAATTGATAAGCCTTTGCCACCAGTACAGAGCCAGGCCAGCTTTTACTCCCATGCAAACTGACCAAAATATATAAATGTGTACTGTGCTCTCTTTATTTGATTTTGAATTGTAATATTCAAATTCCTAAGACTTCGAATGAAATATTTCTGAATTCATTCAGCAATAAAAGGGATATACCGAAGTGTTTTTTGTGGCATCCCATTATAATAGCGGTCTCATGTTATATGATCCCTTAGGTTGAGGCTTCATTTCTCATAATACATATCTTCTGTGAGCTTGATATTATTTTTAGAGGAGAATAGTTTTATTTCTGTTTTTATTGGTTAATCAATAATATTTTTATGAGCAACCATGTTGGTAAATTGGGCCTGTAACTTAATATAACTGACATACATTGTATTTGCACAGAGGTTTATGGAAGAAAGAGTATGATTTAGTAGACCTAGCTATATATGTAGTGATGAATAGTTTGTTTTTTTATTACACTAAAAAAATTGACATGTTATCTTGGCAGTATCAAGTGATACTTTTTAACCATTTTATTAGACTTTTAGTGCTACTAACAAAAGATGTACATCTGTCAATGGTTTTTTGTCATCAAATCAATCAATTTAAGACTGGTCAGAGGTCATTTTATACACTGACCAGTCTCTTGTATTGTCAGCAACATAATAGATCAGGTATAACAAGGTTTTAATGACTGAATGTTACCAAACATGCATACATGTGAACTCTCCCACTTTTGGCGGGAAACTCCCACTTTCTTCAGCTATATTTTCGAAGATTTTTCTTAAAATAAGGGGTATTTTTTACAAATTAAAGAAATCTCCCTATTTTTGATGTCAAAATTTCCTTCTTTGTTTATTGCAAATTCTAAAATCTCCCTCTTTTTGAAGAAAATCTCCTACTTGATTATCAAAAAAAGTTCACATGTATGAACATGGAGACTGAATGACTGAGCCACAATGTTAATATTTTGCAAGCAATTTTACTTAATTTGTCAAGGGAGATTAATCTTACGATAGTGTTATACAATTATGTGTAAGATTTGTTGCCCCTTTCTTATTTAAGAGTAATGGATTATGAATGCATTGTTTAAAAAATGTTGTTGTGTTGATAGGCAGCATTGATACAGTTTAGAATTTAATGATGCTAATAGTTTATGATTAATGGAATTTTTTAGTCTTGTTCACAGATTTAATGCTTTAATTGAAGAATAAAATTGTCAAAGGAATTGGTTTTAAGGAAGAAAATTTATTTTAAAGGTTATTTCAACACTTCAATAATAACTAGTTTATATAGTACTTATGTAAAGTGGACAATTAGATCAACACAAATTTTAAACATGTGATTAAAGCATGTTTTTTTCGAAGTTCTAAACTTTCACATAAGTAACTGTTATTTTCATACTTGTTGTAATTATGTTAACTGGCTAATATTTCTAGAATCATTATAAGTTGCAAACTAAATGGTTATTTAAATCGTCCTATTGTACGTAATATATGAACAACTATAGAGTGTCAAATATGAGGAATTGACAGTTTTAGGCCCTAGGGTGACATTCAATTAAGATAATAATTGAAAAGTTAAAATGATTGATTATATTATAAAGTGACGACTACCTGCTAATATATTATGTAATCAGGTTAATTTTTATTAGCTCGACTTTTCTATGAAAAGGGGAGCTATCCTACTCGCCCCGGCGTCGGCGTCGGCGTTAGCGTTGGCGTCACACCTTGGTTAAGTTTTTCGTACCACCCCACTTTATTTCAGAAGTATTACAAGTATGGCTTTGAAACTTACCATACTTGTTCACCATCATAACCTCCATCTACAGACAAGAGTACATAACTCTGTCAAGGTTTTTGACAGAATTATGGCCCTTTTTTGACTTAGAAAGTGTATTGAGCTTGGTTAAGTTTTTGTACCACCTCACTTTATTTCAAAACCATTGGAGGTATTGCTTTGAAACTGACCATACTTGTTTACCATCACGACCTTCATCAACAGACAAGAGGACATAACTCTGTCAAGGTTTTTGACAGAATTATGCCCCTTTTTGACTTAGAAAATACATTGAATATGGGTAAAATCCACTTATTGCCTTAACCCTTTGAGATATTGCTTTGAAACTTTTAATGCTATTTCACATCATTACCCCCATCTGTACGCAAGAGAAGGTAACTCTGTCAAGGATTTGTTTTAAAAATTAAGGCCTTTTATCGACTTAGAATCTTGGTTAAGTTTTTAGTACCAGTCCACTTTTTGACTGAACTGTTTGAGATATTAATTTGAAAGTTGGAATACTTGTTTACCATCATGGTCCCAAAACATGGGCAGGAGAAGGTAATTCTGTTAAGGATTTTATTTGAATTATGGCCCTTTTTGACTTAGAAACTCAGTTAAGATTTTCATTCTTGTCCACTTGTTGACTTAACCATTTGAGATATTACTTTGGAAGTTGGAGTTCTTATGTGCCATCATGAGACCTATCTGTAAGCAAGAGAAGATAACTCTGTGAAAATGTTTCTTGATTTGTACTTAGAAATTCCTAGTTAAAGTCTTGTGTGCCCTTAACTGTCAAAGTTTTGTTTTATAGGCAAGCACTAAAAAAGTCGAGCGCGCTGTCCTTCTGACAGCTCTTGTTTCTTTCCTGCTCACTTATAATATTTGTAATATGTGGACATTGTAATTTACACGTGAAATATGCTGATTAAGGTCTTCTGATATCTCTTAGTGTTGGCACCAGTAAGCTGTAGTCCACTATGAAACTTGACTCTTTAATGTCATTATGGGAAAGAAGCCATATGTCATTATTAGCAGTGTAACTTTGTATCTGACTAATATATTAGACTAATTAGTATGTAAGAAATGTATTTAAGTGGCTACATAAATGAAGGTCAGTTTATGAAATATTAATATATATATTTGAATTATTATCTCAAAAAGAAAGGTGAATTGAATCCCATGATCTATGACTTATGCACTGTAACATTATATTAAGTTAAAGTATAATTCTGTTCTATAAAAAATGTTGATACATTCATATAAGTGTTTAATATTACTGTAATGCTATAAAAATTAGCTATTTTCTTGCGATATTTTATATATTGTAAATACATAAAATAAAATAAAACAAGAATATAACTAATTTTTCATAGCATTACATTAACTACCGTCCAACTTTCCAACTTCGTCTAGCGGTCATGATGTGCATAAGAGGTGGCTAACTTACCAATAGCCTGCCCCTGTATTTTGGTGCATGTTGTAAAATAGAATGAATGATTGAATTTAGAAAAATTAAGTTTATAATGAAAAAGATTTATTGATCTACTTTAAAAAAGGTGTATTACTTCAAATTCATTTTAAATAAACTTGGTATTCAGATAAAGTGTGAAAGTTGTGTTGGACAACTTAATAACCGCATTTTGGAAAATGAAAAATACAAAAAGGTTTTGATTCAAAATGATATATTATCTTATATTAATTTAAAGATCAACAACTTAGCTTAACTTGTTGATTGGGCTTTGTTTACAAATGCATAATGGAACAGAATATACTTTATTAGACAAAAACTGTACAACAAAGTTAATATAATTTATGCAGTAAGATATATACAAAATATATTATGATTAATTTTTCTTCGCCATATATTTA